CGAGCCGCGCCGACTCGACTCGGTCCTCTGCCATCCCTAGTTCCAACTTGGGTTAATAGGCTAAATTAATAATTTCGAAAAATTAAGGAGATAATACTTTTCTGAAAATTTTTACATAATTCATTCATATTATAAATATATAGTCTTATATTTGTAATATTAATAATTGACTACAATATTTTATTAAAATATAAATCTATTGTTTTTTTTTTTATTGAAATTTAAATCTAATTGGATCTCATCTCTAACTTTTCTTATTGCATCTTAGAAGTTATGGGTTGAATTCTCAAATTGCAATAAAACATTATGAAGTGATGTTGATACTTAAATGCTTACTTATCCATGAGTGGAAATTTGACGGTGTAACCCAATTTAAAACTAAATTCTCCTTTTATTGCTCAGCTTTTTTTATTCCATAAATACTTTTAATCGTAGTAAAAACAATAATATTTAATAAGCACAAATTACCCATTATAACCAAATTTATGTCATATTTCATGCAAATTAAGACTCTCAAACCCTGTTTGAGTCCCATTTTTTTAGGAAAAAAAATACATTTTTAAACGGTAATTTGACATCATTTCAACCAAACATTCTTCATTAAAATAATATGACACACAAATTCAAAATTTTTCCTTATTTATTAATCATACATTCTTTATCAATCTACTATTCCAAAATACACTCTTTCAAAATAATATGGCTCAAACACACACTCAATATCATCCAAGAACTTTCATTTTGGACAAGACTATCCATAGATAATACAATATTGTCATGAACACTAATTATGGTAGGAAAGGAAACCCTAAATCAGTTCATCAGAGAGTTCACTCATTCATCAATAAATCAATATAACATTTCTCACAAACACTGGCGGAGCCAGCACCCGGCGAGCCGACACGGCCGCCCGTGCTAGCTCCTGCAGGAAAGGAATTTCACGTTGATGTAGTTATTATGTTAAATATGTAAAATTGTACCATTATTCATAGTTATGATTGTAGCTCATTTGGTAGGGTATTAGTTTTGCAAGTGAGAGGTAACCGGTTCGACTCCTCTCTTTTCCACTTCTTCTTATAATTTTTCAAATACAATAAATAATAGTTAAATAACTGTATACTATTTTGTTTTAACTAGCACTGATGTAACTTTGTATCTCAATTGGGAATTCCATTTTTATCATATCAGAGGTATGGGATTCGATTCTCTTCACCTCTTCTTCTTCTTTTTAATTTTTTAACACAATAAATAATAATTAAACAATTCTATATTAATAGTTTTTGTTTCTAAAAAAATTCTTTAAAAAAATTTGGTAACTCAAATTATTACTTCATAGTCTATACTTTATTATTATATCCCGTCCAACGAGCCGAGCTCGTCGAGCTCACCGAGCGGCTCGTGGGCTTGAGGTCTCGTCCAACGAATCAAGCTCGTCGAGCCCACAAGGCAACTCGTCCAAAAATATGGAAAAAAAATAAAATTTTATCAATAAAATTTGAAAAATTTGCAAAAAAAANCGCGCCGACTCGACTCGGTCCTCTGCCATCCCTAGTTCCAACTTGGGTTAATAGGCTAAATTAATAATTTCGAAAAATTAAGGAGATAATACTTTTCTGAAAATTTTTACATAATTCATTCATATTATAAATATATAGTTTTATATTTGTAATATTAATAATTGACTACAATATTTTATTAAAATATAAATCTATTGTTAATTTTTTTTTATTGAAATTTAAATCTAATTGGATCTCATCTCTAACTTTTCTTATTGCATCTTAGAAGTTATGGGTTGAATTCTCAAATTGCAATAAAACATTATGAAGTGATGTTGATACTTAAATGCTTCCTTATCCATGAGTGGAAATTTGACGGTGTAACCCAATTTAAAACTAAATTCTCCTTTTATTGCTCGGCTTTTTTTATTCCATAAATACTTTTAATCGTAGTAAAAACAATAATATTTAATAAGCACAAATTACCCATTATAACCAAATTTATGTCATATTTCATGCAAATTAAGACTCTCAGACCCTGTTTGAGTCCCCTTTATTGGAAAAAAAAATACATTTTTAAACTGTGATTTGACATCATTTCAACCAAACACCCTTCATTAAAATAATATGACACGCAAATTCAAAACTTTTCCTTAATATTAATTATCCATTATTCATCAATCCACTATTCCCAAATACAATCTTTTAAAATAATGTGCCTCAAACACACACTCAATATCATCCAAGAACTTTCATTTTGGACAAGACTATCCATAGATAATACAATATTGTCATGAACACTAATTATGGTAGGAAAGGAAACCCTAAATCAGTTCATCACAGAGTTCACCCATTCATCAATAAATCGATATAACATTTCTCACAAATACGAAAAATATCCCAAAAAAATGTGTATGCCTATAGATAGCAACTTTCATGCTAGATTCTCAAGGATTCACCAATGGGAAACACATCTCATGAGGTTATTTTGCCTAGCCAAATTGATTAGTCTACAACATCCTATCATAGAGTCATACTATCAATAACAATGACTCACCATTGAAGAAAATCATGATTGAAGATTCCACTAAAATCTGTGATCGACTAAACATGAAATCGAACAAGTGCACCTAGCATCACAACAATAATGGGAGGGTAATCGAGGTTGTCGAACTTACATCTAAGAAGAAGAAGAAAGTGACACACAACTATGTTCTACATGTTCTTGGTTATTTTTTTAAGAACTAGTCACTATCATGTGCATTGCACGAATTTTGTATTTATCGTATTTTTATTAGCTTATGAATTTTAGTTTTTTGAAAAAGATTTGAAGCAATATTTAGAAATATTTACATGATATAAGAAAATAATTGCAAATTATTTTTACAATTGCAACAGTATTGTGTTTTTTAGAAAAAATTATACTCGTATATTTCATACTTGAATAAGAAATATACAAATTATTTTGTCTGTATCCTTTGATAGTGTCGATATGATTGAATTGAATGTGAAAATTATATTTATAATTCAATATTGGAAAATTGAAGATTGAAGACAAAGTTATAAATCGACTTGCATATTCATATGCGTTTATATTTTGTGCTCCATATATTTTAATATTTATTTTACGCTTATGTCGAAAAGATAAACATCTGTAATTTTTTCTGACATTCGGTTTGGTAAGTGAATGTACGGTATTCTGTATTCTCAGTATTTGTAAGTGAAAAAATCGGTATATACGGTAAGTTGCAAATATGGTAGGTAGCATATATACGATAAGCTGCAAATATGTTAGGTAGCATATAAGGTAAGTTGTAAATACGGTAAGTTGCCTGCAAATACAGTAAATAGGCTGCAAACGGTGCCAACCGCATTTATGCATACCGTATTTACAGCTTACCGTATTTGCAGCAATCCGTATTTATAGCTTACTGTAGTTGCAGCATACCATATTTACATTATACCGTATTTGCAATATACCATATTTACATCATACCGTATTTGCAGCATACCATATTTACATCATACCATATTTTCAGCATATTGTATTTACAGCATACCGTATTTGCGTCATACAATATTTACATCATATCATATTTATAACATACCGTATTTACATCATACTGTATTTACTGCACATTGTCTTTAATACGGCAGATATTTGTTTTTGTAATTCAATATTGTTTACTTTTTCATAATTGTATTCTCGAGAATTTTAAAAAAAAAGTGGTTATGAAATTGCTAATTTTTAAATGTATTTTTTTGTTGAAGATAAAATTGATTTTTTGTGCTATTTGTTTAAAAAAATAAATATATATTATTGTGATTTTATTAGCATAATAAGAAGATTTATTATGATTATTTAAAAAAAATTTAACACAACACAATAAATCCATACTTTAACTTGGTGATTGCAAAAGTCTTTTATGTGTCAATAATGCATCTCTCATTCGAAGCTTCATTGTAAAAGGCCTTAAAGCTCAATATTATATAAGAATTGATACTCTTTTTTGTAAGTCATCGAAAGAGAAAAACTTGGTAACAAAGGACGTAGATCATTGGTTTGGATCGAAACTTCATAATTATACCGTTTGTACACTCTTTTCTCTTTACTTATCATTATTTTATTTGCACTTATTATTTGATTGATCTCTTTATTCTTAACTTGCATGATAAAAGATTAATTTTCGAAAAAGTTTCAAAAACCAATTCACCCCTTCTTAGTTAGTCGTTCTTATACTATCATTATTGTGGGCATTTGAGACATGTGAAGACTTCGTGGATAGAGACCAATCCTATGGAATGTGTAAGGCTTGCAACTTCTTTGATTGGACCGGTACCGAATGACGGGTACAAGATAGTAGTAAATGGGTTGATACGATTGAAGAATAGACTTAAAGAAGAAAACCATAAAAATTTCTATGAAAATGTACAAGATCGCTTTTAGTGCCATTTTCCCATATTTTGTTATTAGGTTATTCCTTCAATTTTGGTTATTGTAATCTTAGCACGAAGACTTGGAAGATGTAATCGAAGCAGTGTATGTGTCTATTTAATTGAATAAAATTGTAGTGAATCATGTTGTTCTGGGATTGGTGTTTTTTAATGTATGTTGGGTAAAATCATGGATCATGTTAATGGATTTTGCAAGACTTTCCAGCATATGTACGTCAAGCAAATGAATTAAACTTAATAAAAACTTATCTTCGCAAGATGGTAAATGTATTGACCTTGCTAATATGTC